TCCTTTTATCCCCAGAGATAGGGGGTGGGGGCTTCGCTAGCAGCAGTGGCTTTTCCATCCCAAGAACCAGCCCATAGATTTCCACTGTTCTCCTCTCCTCTGCCTTCCACGCATCTGCAATCAGGCACTGGACCCAGCTGTTCCTCCTCTTCCTCATCAGCCACCTCCAGACCTGGGGGCTGTGGACACTCCATCTGAGGGCTGACGGACAGCCCAGGCTCCGCCTCTATCTCTCTGCCAGCTCCCTTCCCTCTTCCCCCCTGGAGCTCTCAGGTTGCCTTGATGCTGACTCCCACGCCTCCTCCTCCTCCTCTGATTCGACTGCTGGAGGGGCTGGTGGCTGGCAGGCCACAACAAAAATATCTCTAAATCCCTTTCTTCAGTGCCGTTGTAAGTTCGAACGGTCACTAAATGAACTATTGTGAGGGGAGGGTTTCCAGGTCCGAAAAACCCCACAACCTCTTCCATCCTTAAAAAAAAATAAGGCCTTACCTAGAGTTGCTATGCGGACGTATCTCCTTCTGGTGCTCATCGCTGTGATACTTGCCCAAGTTCCGGTTAGCGGGTCGTATCTTTCAGCACTGGGACACATTGAGAGGAAGCAGCAGAATTAATAGCTCTCGGGAGCAAAGCATTTTCAAAAGGCAGAAGATTAAAAACGGTGAAGGATGGTTTGGGGCGGAGATGGTGAACCTTTTTGTAAAGGCGTGCCAAAATGTCCCCCATGCACAATTCAGGGCTGCCCCGCCCACCTGTGCATGTGCGCGTGACTCCCACCCAGCGCATGCGCCAGTGCCGTGTTCCGGATCCCATTGCAACTGGTACGGTGCAACGGGGCCGGGCATCCACCAAATGAACGCGCACAGCATATGCGCGCATGCGTCGGTATCTCCTGCGACGCTCTGTGACGCCTCTGCAACGCTGCAGCTGCTTCGCGGAGCATTGCACAGGTGCCGTATGCTCCATGAGCATGTGCAGAAGCGCCGAAGAGCTCAAATATCGGTAAGGAAGGCGGGTGGGCCCTCCAGAGCACTGTACCGGAACAGTACCCAGTGCTCCTGGCAGGCACTGGTACGCCCGTACCGGGGCATACCAGTCATAATCCACCACAGGCATGCGCGCACGACCTTCCCTGCAGGGGAGTAGTTTTTGGCCTCTCCATGCTCTGGAGGCTTTCTTGAAGCCTAGGAAGGGCAAAAAACAACCGCAACGGGCCAACAGGAAGTTTGGAAACGATCTGTGCAGCTCTGGAGCCGCATGTGGCTCTTTCATCCCTCTGCTGCAGCTCCCTGTCGTGGGTTAGGTCCACAATTGATAGGGCTTTCAGTTAGGACAGGTAGAGGAAAAAGGGATGCCACTCTAGGAGGATACTCTATGGTGTGGGGGGAACTGGACTTCTGGTCAATAGATGAAAAAAGGATGTCACACTAGGAGGAGACTCTATGGTGGGGGAACCAGACTTCCGGTCAGCAGAGGAAAAAAGGATGCTGCACTAGGAGGAGACTCTATG